CTGCTGCACCCCACAGGCACTGCCCTTGAGACTGCATACAAAGTGGAAACCCCAAGATAATTGCTGCAGCTGCTGATGCTGCAGCTTGTACTGATGCTGCAGTTCCTGCTGCAGCTTGTGCTGCTGCTGCAGCTAGTGGTGTTGCTGCTGCTGGTGCTGCAGTTCCTGCTGCAGCTGGTGGTGCTGATGCTGCAACTGGTGCTGCAGCTGTGCGAATAGGACCCCCAGCAAGTTCAGCAGCAGCAGCAGCTGCTGCTGCTGCTGCTGCTGGTGCTGCTGCAGCTGTTGCTTCTGCAGCTGCTGGTGCTGCTGCAGCAGCTGCTACCGCTGCTGCTGTTGCTGCAGCAGCAGCTGCTGCAGCAACTGCTGCTGGTCCGGTGTAAGGAGCCGCGTCAAGTGCGGCTTTCGTCGTTCCTGCTGCAGCAGTTCGTTGAGCCGCAGCAGCAGCAGCAGCAGCAGCAGCTGCTGCTGCTGCTGCTGCTGCTGCTGCTGCTGGAGTTTGTGGTTGGTTAGCGTCCTCTTCCTCTTCCTCCCCTGCACGAATCCAACAGCAGAAATGTCGTGACCCTCAAGAAGAGCCATTTCAAACCCTGAGGGTTTAGGGTTTAGGGTCTAGGGTTTAGGGTTTAGGGTTTAGGGTTTAGGGTTTAGTACCTGAAACCACCCCCTCCACCCCGTGGCGCCCCTCTAAACCCTCCTCTTTGTGGCCGCCCCCCTCCCCTGCCGCCGCCCCCCCTAAACCCTCCTCGGCCCCCGCGGGCGGGGCCTCCTCCCCCTGCACACAACCAAACCCTAAACCCTAAACCCTAAACCCTAAACCCTAAACCCTAGACTCTTGAGACTGATGTGTGTTGCTGGCACTGTTCACAAACAACAGAACTTTAAACCCTCAATATTCTCCTATTCTGCTGCCGCCAGTCACAAACCACCAAACCCTAAACCCTAAACCCTAAACCCTAAACCCTAAACCCTCACCTGTTTTGCTAGCACCGCCTGCGCCCTTTGCGATTGGGGGTTTAGGAAGAAAGCGCGATAGAGGGAGCGTCTGATTCACGTCAACAAAAAACTGCAGCAGCAGCAGCAGCAACAGCAGCAACAGCAGCAGCAGCAGCAACAACAGCAGCAGCAGCAACAGCAGCAGCAACAGAAGTAGTAATAGCCGGAGCACACGAGCGGCGATTGTGGCGAGCTATCTAGGAGGGTTTTCAGGGTTTAGGGTTTAGAGATTAGGGTTTAGGGTTTAGGGTTTAGGGTTTAGGGTTACTTTGGTTGAGGGTTTAATCGAAGAGGCCTTTATCCCGTCATTCAGCTTCACCGAAAAATACTGCACCGCAAACCCTAAACCCTAAACCCTAAACCCTAAACCCTAAACCCTAGACCCTATCACAGCCCGCAATGACCCGCCACATTTCCCATTCCTTCTATGAATTAGGGTTTAGGGTTTAGGGTTTAGGGTTTAGGGTTTATGAAAGTGTATCTGATGTATTGAGCTGAGTATTTCATCTATTCTTCCCGCTTCTTCACTAAATTAGGGTTTAGGGTTTAGGGTTTAGGGTTTAGGGTTTAGGGTTTAGGGTTTAGGGTTTACCATTTCGTTGATGGGTCCTAGTATTTCATCAACTCTTCCTATTTCTTCTTTATTAGATAAAAATATACGCCCATTAAAGTAAGGGACTTGCTGCTGCAGTAAACCCTTCACAACTAACTCATTTTCAGCTGCGTGCATCACCTCTCCCGCCTCTGTACACAAACCCTAATAAACCCTAAACCCTAAACCCTAAACCCTAAACCCTACATGCTTTATTCTATTATATGGGGGGAAAAAAACGATAGGGCTACAGCGTAGGGTTGAGGGTTTAGGGTTTAGGGTTTAGGGTTTAGGGTTTAGGGTTTGATGCATCACCAATTATGGATTCAGGTGGCCCCTGGTTAAACCCTGCGACACAGAAAAAAACAAAGTTGCTGCTGCTGCTGTTGCTGCTGCTGTTGCTGCTGCTGTTGCTGCTGCTGTTGCTGTTGCTTCGGTTGCTGCTGCTGCAGTGCTTGCCGCTGCATCTCCTGCTGCTGCTACGACGAGCGTTGTCTGTCGACAAATTCCCAGGTTGCTGCTAGGGGTTTAGGGTTTAGGGTTTAGGGTTTAGGGTTTAGGGTTTACCTGCTCCTCCTCCTCCTCTCCCTCCTCTGAAACCCCCGCGTCCTCCGCCTCGGCCACCGCGAAAACCGCCGCGACCCCCGCGGCCACTCATCTGCAGCAGCAGCAGCAGCAGCAGCAGCAGCAGCAGCAGCGGTGGGAGCAGCAGCAGCAGCAGCAGCAGCGGTGGGAGCAGCAGCAGCAGATGAGCCGCATGCACAGCTTAAGGCAGCAGGGGCTGCTGCTGCTGCATCTACCCCCAGCAGAATCAATGCACGCAAATATACCTATGCGACGCAAACCCTAAACCCTAGCTCTAAACCCTAAACCCTAAACCCTAAACCCTAAACCCTAAACACTAAACCCTCGGGGCTTACTTTGCGTCGGGGTGTTCTCAGACTCCAGATGCTCTTGAAGAATTATAAATAAGCAGAAAAGAACTAGGGTTTGGGGTTTAGGGTTTAGGGTTTAGGGTTTACTATAGGCGTGGGGCCCCCAAAGATACCGCTCTGTTGCTGCGCAGCAGCAGCAGCAGCAACGGGAGCAGCAGCAGCAGCAGCAGCAGCAGCAAAAGACTAAACAAAATTACTGCTAGTATACTTAAATTCACAAATAAAATAATTTTATTTCTCGCAGTGTACCCAAACAAACAAACGGGGCCCCCTAATGCATGCGGTGTGGGGCTTCGATGACTCCTAAACCCTAAACCCTAAACCCTAAACCCTAAACCCTAAACCCTAAACCCCAGCGTACACTACAAATTTTATTTTTTTTAAAACCCTACAGTATGAATATTAAGCAAACAGAGAAGGGTTTGGGTAAATTCTAAAACCCTAAACCCTAAACCCTAAATAAAAAATCTGCCTACAAGCCTTAAACCCTAAACCCTAGATATACTCTGTCTCCCCTCTAAACCCTAAAACCTAAACATACCATCGCCAACAGGGCCACGGAACTCTGTAACAACTATCTAAATCATTGTGAATATATATATATATATATATATATATATATATATATATATATATATATATATATATATATATATA